CTCGCTAATCGAATTTTTCTCGATCGAAGGTGCGGCTTGACAGGCGACAAGCGCCAGCAAGAACAACGCGCAGCAACTCTTCAGACACATTGTTCGATTCGTATGTAGACCGAAGTTGAACTGATGAAGTAGGACTAGGGTACCCGTTTTTAAAGGAATCCACGAAATCGGAGTTGACGACGAAACCATTCGCATTGTTTGCAAAATTCTACGAGCGGTTTGATGAATCGGCAAATTTTGATGCGTGATAAACAGTATATGTGTCCTCGTTCTCATTAAAATTACGCGTGATGATATTAATTAGATCAATTATGGACAAAATTAGCTTGAAATTAATCTACAACATTTTTATTTCATATAAAATTACATAAATTTTTATAAATTGTGTTATTGTGTAATCGTGAGCGCATTTAAAAAGGAATTATACTTAAATATTATTTAAAAAATTGTTTTAAATTGAACAAAAAATAATTTGCATTTTCTTCGTGCATGTATTTACAAATTTCAAATTTAAATTATTAAATAATTAAGTTAATTGATCAAAGTCGACGACGAAACCATTCACGTTCCTTGCGAAATTATGCGAGCGATTTGATGCAGTGGCAAATTTCGATGTATGTTAAATAATACATGTGTCCTCGTCCTCATTACAATTTCGCGTGAAGATATTATATTAGATCAGTTTTGGGCAAAATTAGCTTAAAAGCAATCTATAATATTCTTATTTTATATAAAATTACATAAATTTTATTGTGTTATTGTGCAATTGTGAGCACATTAAAAAAAGAATTATATTTAAATATTATTTGAAAGATTGTTTAATAAATTAAACAAAAAATAATTTGCTTTCTCTTCGTACATGTATTTACAAATTTAAAATTTAAATTGTTTAATAATTAATTAAAATAATTAAACAATATTTATATGTTCAATCTGGCATTACTTATATTAATTCCTTTTATTTTATTTTATTCCTATTATATTATTACGATATTAGTATTAATATAAATAATATTATATATTATTATAGTTTAATTTTTATACAAAGTAGGTTAAAAAACTGGAAAATTTAAAGGATAAAGTTACTTAAATGCTTTATTTAATAAATCTAGTTTCAAAGCTTATAAATTACAATAAGTTATAAGTAAGGCATGGGAATCGGCGTGGTTATTGGTACGCAATATTTAATTTACATAAAATTTTCTTTATTCTAAAAGTCAAACGTATCGACTATCTTTTTTAGCCATCTTTAGTGACAATTTTCAATAGTTACATTTAACTCTCGCTTTTAGTTTCTTAATGTGTGTATTCTTCCACGTCTAGTGAGTGAGGAAGCAGTTATAAGTACCTCCAATAGCTGTCCATACAGTTGAAGGGCTGCATGGTCTAGCTATATGTCCTCGAATGTAATAAAACATACACTTCGCATCTTGGCAATGATACTCGCTCGAACTTTGACGAGTACAGTTGCTACGATAGTTTTTTTTTCTCTGATTTTAAATTTTGACCAAGTTTTATATATCGTTAATTTTAGCTATTTATTAATTTTATCGTTGCCAAGATGCGACGTGTGTTTTATTATGTTCGAGGACATACAGCTAGACCATGCAGCTCTTTAACTGCACGGACAGCTATTGGAGGTACTTATAATTGTTTCCTCATTCACTAAACGTGGAAGAACACACATTAAAAAACTAAGAGCGAGAGTTAAATATAACTATTATAAATTGTCACTAAAGATGACTAAAAAAGATAACCAAAACGTTTGACTTTTAGAATAAAATAAATTTTATGTAAATTAAATATTGCGTACCAATAATAACCACGCCGATTCCCATCTTTCTAACTTATTGTATTTTTAATTCGGGGAAATCTTGTTAGGTTTTTATTGCTTTGCGACGCTATCGCGTTAATACTTAAATTGATTTTATTATCTATCTCGACAATCTTTACATGACCATCTCTCGAGTACATGCATTTTTGCAATCTGTCCCTGAAGTTTTCCAGAGTAGCTTCTCTCTTGCAATATTTCAACCAATCTTAAATGTACTTACTTTACAAATATTTGTTTTAAGTTAGTAAATTCTTCGAATTTGCACTGAATCATTTGAAGGATGTGGTGATTTACAAAATATTATATGATTATATTTGTTATAAAGTAATTAGTAGCTATATACAGTAGTGTCGCGACGCCAAAACATGAAAAATGGTAATAAGATAATTTGTAAATGACATATATATTATTTTCTTTAGTTTACACGATTAAAATTAATTAAAAAGTCTCTAAGTGTTTTATCCCTTTAAATTTTCCCGTTTCTTTGGTCCATCGTGTAATAATATATAAGTAATTAAGTATTACCAGGATTGGAAAAATTAATTTATAAAAGTAACTCGTTACTGTTACTGATTTGAAAAAATAATTTTAATTATTATCGTTACCGTTACTCAAAAATTAACAAATCCTTATAGTTTTTATTACTTATTTTTCATCGAAAATCTTGATGAAATTGATTTTAGAGGCATCCAATTGTCTATATCGTTGACCAGTTCACACACAAGATCTACCTAGTACTTATGATAATATTAGCTCCTTTTAAAATTCATATATTTCTGCATGTTTCATGCGTGCGCGCGCGTGTGTGTGTGTGTGTAATAGTATGCGTATAAAGTTACGATAAAGGTATAAGATTATATTCATTATCATTTATTTAAAAAATGTAATGCTTTATGATTGACGTTATAAATAAAGGAAATGTTGCTTATTTATTACTAAAAAAAAGTAATTGAAATCATAATGACTTTAGAAATAACGCGTGATTCCTCAATCATGAATATTACTACACAGTAAAAAATATTTTGTATTTATGGAAACGGATAGTCAACATTTTTATAGAAGAAAAGAATATTAGTACTTTTAAAGAGACGAAAAAATTTAAGTTATTAGGAAAACGTTAACCAATTAAAATTAATTAAAATAAGTAGTTAAAGTTAAAAATTAATGCATTTATAATTACTTAAGTTAGATTACAATTACATTATTAATGTTTTATCTTTATTATTTAACTTCTAATTTTTTAACTATAAGCTATCAATCTAAAAATGACTATTATTATTTAAGTTGTCGAAGAAAAATTAATAATGTTACCACACGAATTTTATCAAATTTAACAATGTATAATGGCATTTTATGAATTTGTATTGCATTTTGACTCTGAATTCAAGGATGCTTATTAGCAAATACGAATTGTTGTAAAATCAACTCGATAATTTTGCTGCGTATTAGTAGACTTTTATAATTGTGTCGATTTCGCTGTACTGTTATTCGTTTCGCAATTACGTACATATGTCGCCACTCACATTTTTTTACGCACTTCTTTTTGCTTATACGTCAAATTCCGCAACCGAAATCCAGTTTCATAAGCACAATAACGAGATTTAATCACATAAAAAAAATATTGATATAAAATTTTATTTTATCTATATGAATGTTAAAAACCATAATCTTTTGTTTAATTTATTTGCTTTTTTGTTACATGTTGATAATAAGTTCAAAAAATTCATATTTGAAAAGAAGAATCGAGCTATATATAGGAATAAAATTGAATTGCGATATTTGATGCAATAAATAGTGGAAACGTTAAAATTGCTCCTAATTAAAAATTTTCTACACACAGTTGGAAAACTTGTGCATTTTTGTAAAAAAATCTGCTGGTTAAAATTTTTGTGTTAAGCAATCATCATATTTATGTATAAATTTAATATATATCTGTCATATTAATTAAACTTAATAAATATAAAATGTAAAATTTTTAAAATGATTTAAAAAATATGTTAAAGCAACACAATTTGCACATGTGTTAAAATTTACAAAATAAAAATGTTGATTTTACTCTACGACAGGAGTAGGCATGATCGCGCGTTATTCTCCGTGCGATTTCGATACGGACTCGACGCGTCTCAACGTGTTACAATATGTAATACAATATTAATTATTTTTAATAGTTTATAGTTCTTAATAATTTAGGTGGAGCAATTCTACTAGGCATGAATGAATCATTTCGTGCTAATTATTATTATTATTATAGAATTTACACAATTCATAAAAAAGATGCTCAAAAACTTTATATTGCTAATGATAATAACATATTACGATACATTTAAAAGTTTTAATTATCTTGCAAATCAACTTGATTATGCTAATAATGATACAATTAATTTTTATGGAATTAAAAATGAAAGTTTTTTATTTAACTTACTTTAAATGTTCTGAGAAAATTTTAAATATTATAATGCCTGATTTTTTGGAAGATATTTGTTAAAGAGATTTACACTTGTTCTTTCATATCTGCGATAAATTTAAATTTATTAACTTCAGCGACTTAATGTAGGCTTGATAAAATACAGGCTTTCGACTATGATTTAGACATAATAGAACTAACAATAGTGTTGTGGCGATTGTATCGCCCCTACCGCGGTTGCAACATATAGAAAACAGATAATAGAACATATAAGATTTCGAGGGAATTTCGCGTACTTAAGCGAATTTTCGAGAATCATATACACGGCATAAGCATATTATACTGCACAAATAAATATAAGACAAGCACGAGACGAGATTGTAAGCCGAAGGAAAATGGTAAAATAATAATTATGCAACGTCTATCAATACCGGCTAGGTGAAAAATTAACCATATAATTCACATATCGCTTTCTTTTCGAAGCAATATGGATCACGTTGAACATCGATCAGAATCGCATATGCGACACCGCATGGCGATATCATGATATCAATAGACGTTGCCGCAGACAGTCAAGAAGGATCTTTAAATGTAAGCCGTTTTAATTTAAACCGAGTCAAGCAGTTTATGGTCAGATAATAAAATCAACGTTCTTCGAAAATAAAAATCAGAAATAGATCGTGAAAATTAGATAGCTCTCTCTCTCTCGACGGTCGGTTCTCGTTGCGTGCAGACAGTAATCTTGTCTCGTATTGTAATAAAAGTAAGTAAGTTAACGACCGAAAAAGGGACTTAGAACATTTCACTATCCTCGCTCCGCATCTCCTATCACGCATCGATCACCAAAGTGTTATGTGTTTGTTTGTATAACTAAAACATATAATGCAATAGGACAACGTGCAGTTCAAAAATATCATTCTCGTGTTTAGGATACATTTGTAAAAAATACATCTATTTTATTTGTTGTAAAAATAATTGATTTGCTGTGTACTAAAAATTGGGAAATTTATCCTTATCTATAATTAGGAATCCTTAGAAAAAGATTTGTTATTATAACTGATCACTTTTTGTAATTTCTTTTTAAACAGACTTTATATATATTATACAAAATAACAATATATTTTATTGTATGTATGTTAAACACGTTTTTCGTGTTTCACTTTGAGATCGCGTGTTTTTATTAAATTTTGAACTCTTAAATTGAAAATATATTGTTTGTTTAAGAAAATTCCAAGTTTAAATAATATAATATAATAATAAATTAAAAAGAAATGCCAGTATAAAATTTCATTTGAAAAGATTTATACTTTTAGGCTTCCATCAAGATATATCTAAAATAATTAACTTTATCATTTAATTATATTTTGTACACATAACACAGAATAAAACCAAACAATATACCATGACACACAACAAATTCGAAGACTGTGTTACTCGCCGGAAATATCAGTAATCTGAGAGAGGACATAATTTTCAAACGCGCAATTTTTCGAAAATAAAGCTGCAGGTGCGAGGAAGGTGGATGTAGCATGGACACGCACTGCAAATTATATACCCGCGGTGCAGTAAAGTGAATGTTGCTAATGTAGTTTACATCCAATTCTTCAGAGGGCGCTAGTGCGGACTCTAGATACATGTATAGAAGTTTGTTTGAAAACAGTTTGAAAACTTGATCAAATGAAAACTTAATCGAGGAACGTCTCGAGAGTGATATTTGAAAAGTGATTGCCGTTATTATGATAGATATTAATTTTTGGCATCTCGTCTCTTTAAGCGTCTTTTAGCGCGATCAGCGACATGGAGGACATAGAACGTTTTATAAAGGTTGCGCAGCAGAAAAGGTTCGTTGATCAGCGTGAACTGGAACGTCTCGACGTGGAGCCCATTGAGCACAGGAAATTAATGAAGGAACTGCAAGATTTGAGAGGTAAGTCTCTCCCGGATTACTTCCAATTGGAATTAATTGTTCCGCTGTTGTGAGAATCGTCGCGATTATGTGCGTAAATCTGTTGTTCATCAGGAGAGAGAGAGCAGTGCAAGGAGAACATCACGAAACATCTCAATATGATTACGTCGCACAAGCATTCTATACACAAAATTGTACACTCTACGAACGACATCTCAGGCTTGCCTGTGCCGCACGATTACGCACAGTATGTATGAATATTCTGACCCCCTCCCCCCCCCCTATCCCTCCCTCGCTGCTGTGTAAAACTTTGACACTCTCTGTTTCAGAGACATGACAACAATGTTCAGCGATGCGATCAATTTCTTGAATAACATAGGAGATATTCGCGAAGCACTCACTAAGGAGAATAATGTGGATCCTTCGACGTTGATTCAAGCCGTGGTAAAATATTGGAAATTTATTCAGACAAATTGGAGATGAAATATCCTTGAATGTATCTTCATTTCCTAATCTGCTTTTAGACGACGTGCGCAGAAGCCGTAGGAAGCAAGTTATATCAAACAAAGTGCAGTATTACCCAATTGGAAACGTTGAAGGACAATATAGCGGTGCTCCAACAATACATTTTGGATAATAGCGACAATATTGAGGGTGATGTTTCGATTTTCACTTTTCAGTTAACACTTAATAGTAATTAAAACAACGTGTCGACTCGTATCTTGAAATAAATTAGAAACGAAAGGGAATAGAAGCTAATAAAACAAACAAACAAACAAACAAGAGATGTTAGAATATAAATTAAATGACATAATTATACTCAAACATCTCTTATTTGCTCGTCTTATTGGCCTCTATTCCCTTTTGTTTCTAACTTACAATTAATAATAATATTAATGTTATTTGCTGTTTTTTTGAAAATTGAAATATGATAATGTATAAGCTTTAGATAGTAACAATTTAAAACAAGATCAATTCAAGATACAGTAATGCTAGATGTAGTAATTAAAGGTCATTGTTTTCAGATGAGAGTATAAATTCAACTATCAATGGTGAGTCAATGGATAGCGGATCAACTATCGTATAATAAAATGCGTACTAACGTTTATTGTCTGTGTTACTCAGAATATATAAAATATTAAACAGATAGTTTTCATGCGAAAAGTATATAATACATATTTGTTGAATATTTTATCAAAGTTTTGTGGCAGTCATGTATATTCAATGTTATCCAATTGGTCATCCAGATTCAGCTTTAGCATTACTAATTGAGGATCAACGACTTCCTGTAAAACAATTATATATGTATATTTTTGTAAAATATTAACTTTACGGAATAATTCCAGATAAAGATAACTTTATTATTATTATTATTATGTATTTCCTGATTTTCTTACTGTAAAATGACTAGTGACTTGAAACGCATGCTGCTGACTAGACGATGGTCGCTTGTCTATGTAACTATACGAGGTATTTGTACTTCTTTTCAGTTTCTCCAAAGCCAATTTTTCGCTGAGAAAATTCATCATTTAAGTATATTGTTTTTTATATTATTAAAATTGATTCAGTGTTACCTTGCTAAATTAAACTCCTCAAATTTGCCATAATGGGGATTGAATTTAACTTTATGCTCATTTTCGATGTGATGAGCCTCTCTCAATGCCTTCTCGGCTTCTTCATTTTTCGCAAATGCTATCTGGATAATTATTTAATTGCATTAACACCGTCTATCTTTGCAAAATTTGATTATCATTACCTCTGTAAAACTCTCGAGATCTTGGGCGCGTGCTGAGAGCCAGCGTTTCTTTTCCGTTAAAATCTGCTGCTGCCTCTCGAGATGTTTAAGTCTTTCATGCCATTTTAATCGTTCCAGATCCGCGAGTATAGTGGCATCTTGTGCTGCTTTTATAGCAGCTGTCGACTGTAAAAAATTGAATTTATTTATTTCTTTAATATACTCTATTGTACACATTTATCTTTTTAATTTACCTCTATCTTCGTAACATTATCCGAATTACTTTTTATTATCCTCAAAACTTCATATTGCTTCTTTTTAGCCGCGATCACTTCTTTCTCCTTCGTTAAAATCTTCAGTTGTTTCTCTTGTTCGTTAAACCAAGATTCTTTCAAAGCCTTGTATTGTAGATTTTTCAGATAGTATTATAACGTTCAAGTATTGATTATCAGATATTAGGTAAATAATTACCTGTAAATGATTACGCTCCCACTGCACTTTTTCTTCAAACAATTCCTTTTCATGCGACAAAGATTGCTCTCTCTTTTGTAACGTTTCCAATGCCTGATTGAGCATGGCGCTCTTTTTCTCTAACTCGAGCACCAATTGCGTCACGTGCGAATCCAATCTGTCTGCTACTTTCATTATCTTCTCACGTTCTTGCTCCAGTAATGTCTGCTGCTTCTTCATTTCCGCGTTTTGTACTGTAAAACAATATTCCATAAAGTGAATAAAAAACTATGAATTATTTAAAATCACTTATCTAACAGCATCACAAACATACTTTGCATGCCTTCCTCCTGATTCTTCAAATAATATTCCCTTAACTTTACACTTTGGTCATCTCTTTGATCAGTCTTTTCGTGCACATTTTTTATATTCTCTATAATAAAATCAGCTTTTTGTAACAAATTTTGTAAATCAGTCTTGTGGGTCGCTATGGTTGTCATAGCTAAATTCTCCACCTCTCTCATTTTTAATATACTTTCTATCGTATCAAAATGCTCCTTCTGTAGCAGTTTTATATTTTGAGAATGGCGTTCATAAATTTCTTCTATAACTTGCGCATGCTCTTTCTAAATAAAACGAATCACGTTAAGTTAATTTTAATTGTAGCAATATATGATCACCGAGTGACAATTTTAAAATACTGAAAGAATTTCTACCTTTAAATTCTGTAATTCTTCTTTATAAAATGTCTCAATTTGTACTTTCTCGTTTTTCAGCTTTTCAATCTTTGCTTCATAATCCGCCTCCAAACACTCGAGTTCTTGCTGCATTCTCTTTTCCAATGTATCCGTTCTCTCTTGCAAGAATCCTATTTGTCGTCTTTGGAACGATTGTACGATTAAACAATTTTTGAATTGTCAACCTTTCAATTTAATAACGATCTTATACTTACTTATACGACTCATCCAGAATCATTATCTCGTTTTCATATTTGTCGTTTAAGCTGTGTAACGTCACCGACAGATGAGACTTCTCTAATTCTAATTTATGAACTGCATTTTCATAGCCTATGCTTTTGGGAATTGAGCTACTACGCGCATCTTCCGAATTTATATTTACATCAGAAGTAATTGGAACAGCCATTGCGTGGGATGACTGTAAGATTAAATATAAATTTAATTACAAAATAATTATGCATATAAGTCTTATTATAAAATGACTTCCAACGCTTGCCTTAGAATAATTTTCTTCAATTTCCTGTTTCTCGTGCTCATTGATTTCTACTTCTTGATTGTCCGATAATCTTGACAATTTTTCTTTCTCGTGTGGCAGTGATTTAGGTATCATTGTCTTATCCTCTTGTGATACGTTTGCTACCTGCTAATAAATAATTAAAACAATAAAACTGTTTATACAACTGTTTTAAATCAAACATATTAAAATAATTAAAATAATAAAACTGCTTTTATTATAACAGTGACGCTGACATTACCCCTTGAACAATTTTATCGGAGCTAGATCTCTTATGCCTGCTAAACAATTCTTCGGTAGGTGTTACTCTATCCTGAACATAATCGCTACTTTTATCTTCTTGTATTTTCTTAGGCTCCAACCAGTCTGGTAGATATTCTTTAGTTTCCGATTTCTGTCTACCAAGGTCTGCAGACGCTGTACGCCTTTCTGTCGTCTTTGAAATTAGAATGGAATTATTAAGCATGAACGGGCAGCAAAATTGAATATTATTACATATTGAATGTGCAGGTCTAATGAATTTACATTTACAGTCTGGTCAGCTTGACTTGACGTCGCGCTCAAGGAGAATAATCCTAGAGGATCGTTGATGATCTCCGAGGTCCTCTTGCCTCTACGAGACTCTCTCGTTCCAAGAGCCGTTGGCGCATACGTCGAATGTTGTGATTGCGTCTTAGAAACGTCGGCCGTGTGCTGTGTAACTTCCAGCTCCAGCTGTGCAGGTTTCTTGTCAACTAATTCCTTTGACGGCAACGTATGCGACGTATCCCCAAACAAATCCTGCATCAATGACAATTTCTTTGCCTTATCGTCCGACTTTTTTGGCTTCTCAAATCCCGTGACGCTTAACGCAGACATCAAGCCAATCTCCTTCTCGTCCAGCTTTGAACTTGACAACGATTCGTTGGAAGCTTTCTTACTGAACAAATCGTCTATTATACTTCGCTTATCTCTCGCCGCTGCTGAATTCTTTTGGCTCGACGGCAAAGCTTCCTTATCGGCTAGCAAACTAGTCAGCGGGTCATCCTCGTCTACAAGTGAGAAATAATAAAATAAACTGTGCTTCTACAAGATATAAGCCATAAAAATTTTATTAATATATTTGTCATGTGTTCTCAGACAAATAATTTAGAAAGTGCATACTGATCAATGTCTTTTAATTGAACCTGCAAATGTAATTCTTTTTTTGCCATTTTCTGCGGACGGATTCCTCCTGAATGCATTACTGAATAGCTTATCGTCCAAGCTGTCCATATCCTCCACCATTTCTGTCATTTACGTATTCGCGTGACAATAATAAATATATTACAATTCAGGTCGTGCAATAATAACTTGTAGACTATGCCAATTATTATTCTAATTATATATTAATAGCAATCGATTAAATAACAAAGATGTGTCATATATGTTTATACAATATAGCGTTCGGGAAGTCTGCGCCTCTTTCTTAAATATTGGCATTGCACATGTTGACATGTTGCTAAATTATAGGGGGGGAGAGGAGGAGTCCCCCCCCCCCGGTTCCCCCGGTCACCCGTTCGCAAACATCACCGTCATGCAAGATTCACACCGCGTCGGGCATCCAATGGACGTTGAAAGAGACGGAGGAGAGCCGTGTGAACCCGGCTTAGGGGGAGTAAAGGTCGAAGTCTAATCGGACTCGACGCCAGCGCGCCACGTGATCGCGCACCAAGTCTATCACCGAACCTTCTTCCCGTGTGCCTCCTCGGTTACGACGGTTACCTCAGTGCGGTGAATGAGCGTGAATGAACGATAAGCGCGTGGACGATCGTGGCCAGCTTCGCGTCGCACGGTTCCTCGGCCGCGGGTCTTGACAAGGTGCGAGAGAAAAGGGGGCGAAAGGGTGTGTGTGTGTGTGTATGTGTGTGTGAGAGAAAGAAAGAAAGAGAGAGAGAGAGAGAAAGAGGATGGCGCAGAGGCGACTGTGAGTCGGCGGGATAATTGTGGGCCGGAGGAACGAGCAAAAGGAAAAAGGCGCGTCGTGATGCTGCCGATGATTCCGCTGCTGGTGCTGATCGCACGCTCGTCGCCCTCATCGTTATCGTCGTCGTGAAGCGAGCCAACCCCGTCACGATGCAATCCGTCTACTGGACTGGACGATTGCTGTCGCGCGCGCTCTGGAACGGCATCGCGAGCTATAGCAGTGCGTGCAGCGGCGAGCAACAGCCGAGCGCCGTCGTGAGCAGCAGGCGCCGCGAGGCCTCGCTCGTCTCCGCCGTCTGCGGTTTCCCCAAGGACTTTGCCCGGAGCCGGATACGCAGGGGCCAGTTCGGCGACGACGCCTGGTTCACTGCCAGATTCAGGACGGCCGAAGTCATAGGTGAGAGATCCCGGGGAGAGATCTCTCCCTCCCCTCCCCCTTGAACGTTGTTTTTCGCATCCCTCTCGCGCCTCGTTGCCTCGTGCATGCACTGGGAGTTTGTTTCTCCAAGCTGCACTCCCTCTCGGAGTACTCTTTTTACCTCTCTTTCTGCAGATCCTATACCGCCTATACGTACATTTGCTGTTGCTGAAGACTTGGCAAAAGTCGCTGAGGGGGACTTTGCTTCCTTCAATTATTTTCTCTACTTATGATTTTTATTTTTTTTTTCTTGAATCTTGATTATGCTTGTTTTAATACACATGGATAATTTATTTAATACAACCACAAAAAAAAACAGATTTATGCTTTGTTTCTAAAACGACAGATAACTGTTAATAATATGCAGTTTTTTAATTGCTGAGTAGACAATTTAGATTTCAAATATATATGCTGTTAAGAAAAAATTTATTTTTTATAACCACATTATTATGCTTGTTATGCTTAAAAATAAGTAAATGTCCATCTAGGGCAAAAAGAATGACTTTTGAAGAAAAGAAAAAAAGATTGTCTAAAAAATGAAAAGATTGCAGCTAGTAGTAGAAAGTAGAACTCCAGTTTTGAGTTCTACTTTACAAGTAAAATTATATTTTAAAAATTCATGAGAATACATCTTGTCCGTCGTGTGTGGTATTTGATTGAACTTTTTGCTGCACTTTCTACACTTTCCTGCAGTTCTTGTCCTTTTTTCCCCTTTTAAAGCTTGAGTAAAAAAAGCTTTTATTTCGAATATAATAAATATGACTGAAAATTTGAGAATCCATCACTTCAGAAGGCTTTAAATTAATTTTTTAAATACATTTTTTACATAAATAGTTATTAATATGGTTACATTTTTATATATATCTTTTGTTCTTTTTTTTAATATGAACATCATATATGTATATTTATGCATAAACGCAGTTTTTTTTTTAGTATAAAAGTTTAATTACACAATCTTTTAAATAAAGATATGATATCCAAGAGAAACAAATGTCATGTTGTCTGTATTTATTAATTATTAATTTGTGTATTTTATTTTTTATATAATTGTTCGAAATTTATTTGAAATCGTGTTGGAGACGTTTATAGATATGTATATTTATCAAGCACACATGAAATATCTAATTAATTATAATAATTATGTCATGTGCATCTGTAATCTAAGTGCTTAAATTATTACTGCACCTTATTGGCATATAAATTATTTATAAAGTAATAGCTTATAAATTATTATTGCACCTTATTGGTATATAAATTATTTATAAAGTAATAGCTTAAGGATATATTAATTCCATGCACAGATAATTGTTGTTAAGATTCCTGTTTACTGACCATTATAATTTTGTGACATCAGAAGCAAAAAAAAATACATAATAAAAATTCTTGTAAAATGTATTAACATGGAAATATTTATTTCTATTTCAATAAAACAATTGATAGAATCATCTTGTAAAATATATCAGAAACTCTTGAGTCTTAATATACATATAGATTATGGCTCAAATTATGTATAATTTTTTGTATTAATTATTGTATAATTATGTACTATGATTCATATAAATGTTTTACCAAACAAATTAAAAATTTTAAATTAAAATTTATGAGAATTGATAAAAATTGACTAATAGTTATTTAGATTATTGCCTTATATAAATATTAATTATATTGTAATACTTCAGGTGTGGCTGATGGTGTAGGGGGATGGCGACACTACGGAATTGATCCAGGAGAGTTTTCTAATTTCCTAATGAGGACATGTGAGAGGCTAGTCTCGATGGGCAGATTTACACCTACAGAACCAGCTGGCTTATTAGCACGTAGTTACTATGAATTGTTAGAAAATAAACAACCAATATTAGGTAAGCAGATTGCTTTTAGTCGTACGTAAAAAAAAAAAGAGAGATAAATCAGAACTATTTAGAAATGTCCTAAGATTGTTTCTGACGTTGCTAATTTCTTTGGTATACAGGTAGCAGTACCGCATGCGTAATAGTTCTCAATAAAGAGACGAGCAGCATTTACGCAGCCAATATAGGAGATAGCGGCTTCGTAGTCGTACGAAGGGGAGAAGTGGTACATCGGTCCTCGGAGCAACAACATTACTTCAATACTCCCTTCCAGTTGTCGTTGCCACCTCCAGGACACTCTGATCTAGTACTTCGCGACAGGTATAGATTACTTTTATTTTATATATATATATACACACACACACGAAATAAAAAGGGATGGCCACTTACACGGGGACACCCTGTATGTATGTATATATATATATATATATATATATTCGGCTTATATACTTCCGTATATTTCTGTATACTTATGTTACACGGCAGCCGTGAAAAGTAATTATAAATAATTTATATTTCTTTCTTTTTTCAGTCCAGAATCCGCCGACACTTCGAGTTTCGGGGTAGAGGACGGCGATGTGATCCTTCTGGCAACCGACGGGGTATTCGACAATGTGCCTGACCAGTTGCTAGTCACCGAGATGCGTAAGATTGAGGGCGAGAGGGATCCAACGAAAATACAGTGTGTCGCTAACACGATAGCGTGGATGGCGCGTCGTTTGGCTTTTGACGGCGCCTTCATGTCTCCGTTTGCTCAAAATGCCCGAGAGAATGGGATCGATGCAATAGGTATGTAAAAGAAAAGATTAATCGTTTACACCGTATTAAAAGCAGATATTTTTCGATTTAAAAGAAAAATCTTTCTATAAAAATGTCTTAAAAAGCTAAATTATAGCAATAAAATAAATTCATGATATGCTATAATTATTTTTCATTATTTTCTTTTTATAAAAGAGATTAAATATCAATTAAAAATTTTCTTTTATTGATTGCACTTGGACTTGATTCACCAATATACATAAATAAATGAAAAAAAGTTTAATTAAGGATATTTGACAAAAGAGCGTGTACAAAAGTAGATTTTGAACCTTTCAGGTGGTAAACCGGACGATATCACGGTGCTTTTAGCAACAGTGGCGATATGATAAAACAATAAGGAACAAGTGTACAATAGAGCCCTGATGATCATTGTATTATAGTCCATGTCATTGCGTATATGTATTTAGTTATACATTCATTATATTAATCCTATTACGCTAATCATTTATTATTTAAATCGAAATAAATGGTTTTGTAAAATCACTTCTTATCCTACTCATTATTATTCAATTTTTTTTACAATTTCTTTGATAATTATTAACGTACTCTTTGGCGAATTGCGGATGTGCTTGTTGATTTACTCTTTCAGCATCTACGTGCCACATATCGCACGTCCACTTTCAGCGAATTTGTCCACTTTCTTTAGCTGTAACCAGCTAAAAGTAAAAAAATATATATGAAGATCAAACGAATCAGGATTAACGAGAAAATATCTTATGATCTTTACACACTTGATGAGATACTGAAAGAGTTAATACAAACGTCTCCTAACAGGAACCGATTAGGGATATAATCGTCGTTAACTGCATCAGAATGACAATATTTAAGAAACGATTGAGAAATTCCAAGATTAACGACTTAAAAATCCAGAATCGCAACACATCCACATCAGAATTACAAATATAATATATTAAATACTCATCGAGCTAAAAATTCAAGGAATACATCGTGCGAAAAGCATCCTAGCCTGGAAGCCAAAGATATAATAGAAGATAAATACGTGCAAATAAAGCTAAGAAAATTAGAACTAAGAATAAGCAACAAACATTTGAATTTTAGTGTTGTTCGAAAGGAATAAAGAATTTAGATAATTCTAAACCTGAGGAGCTTAGAAATTGCAATTACATTAATAATTAACGATATAATTATTACTCGCGCGGGAGTATTACATATACAAATTTCTTTACCTAAATCAGTACTGTAAAATGAATTTGTATTAACATTTATGGGTGACCTATGTTAAAAATTCACATCGGTTCAGCTTAGAGTCATCATTGTACATAGCGCTCACGAGAAATCACAAAAAGAAAGTTACATTTATAAACTGATTATTATAAATCGTACTTGGCAAAGTAATGTCCATCTGTTTCAAATAGAAGAGAAAATAAAAATCATGCAAAGCTACACACTAAAATTTAAATCTTTTTAACGTTTTTAAAAATTCGAATAGTTATTATTAAATACTTTAAGAAATAAAATTCCAAATTTGCTACAACAAGTAACTGACCAATAGATTGACTCTGGAAAAAAAAACTACCTTTCCATCGTCCTCATGATAGAAAGGCAACGAGAAGAAGCGACGGTTATTAACTATAATCAATGCAAAGTCTCCGTTGTATTCATATAGTACATAATATACACGTATGAACAAAGTGTGGGAAGTGTGTATATATATTATTTTCTTTAGTTTATATTTAACGATTTGTACTTTGTAGATGTTGCCTAGATTACACTTCGCTACGATAATAAATATAAATAAATGCTTTAGTACACTTTAAAATAGTCTCCCTTGCACAATGGCATTTTTTTTCTCTTTCTTTCACTCGACACTTGCAAGAACTATGAGCACGGTTAGTGTGTATCACAAAATTACCACCGATCGCAAATATCTTCACAAAAGTGACACTTGATACGATAAATCTAATTAATTCGCGACTGAAAAATTATCACCCGCGCGCTGAACCGGAAGTTCAATCTCGCGACAGACGGGTTTAACTCTCGGAATGCCAATTCAGTTGCACTCGCGTGCATAAATTAATGCTCTTTCTATCCAATTGAAGGATTTTGAATTCGGCAGATGTATGAATCCGCGGAAATTTTATATAATAATACTCGTTATTACTAAAAACTTTTTACTCGCTTACAATATGTTTAGGATGAAAATAAGCTACTATATACGATATTATTATCGTACATAAACAGCTTGAACTAAATTATCTAATAACAACTAAAATTATACTAATCTTTTTACGATTCAACTCATTTCAAACTTGTGCTGAATCTACGATTGAATAACAAAATATATCGCGACGCCCTTATATTCTGAATAGAATTTTAATCGTATTTTCTGCAATAGCGTTAGATACGCAACGCTCTTGGCTTCCAAAGAGTTAATATCATTGATAGAATCCGGATTCTGTACGCAGAAACGAAAAACATGAAATGTGCAAATGGAATTTAAAGAAATCAATAGGACTTATTTAAGTGCGTATCTGGTAGCTTTTTCGTTCATATGCAGAGTGTATAAATACTCGTGCGCTTTCTCTTGTCTCTAAAGTCTTTGAAAAGTTTCTTTGAAAATGGCTTTCTTTTGATGACAATTTGATTATTATTACAGGCTATCTATCGCAATCTTTGGATGAAATCTTTTAATTAATAGGTGTCGAATTTTCGCTAAAAAAAAAAGTACATTAGCTCCATACTTTTCGGAAGATCTTTAATGAAACGAAATCGCCCGATCTCTTATACACCCTGTGTATTACGTGTGTCTTATTATACATCTTTTGCGTACAAATCCGGACACTAAAATTGTCAATAATCCCAAAGGAATAATGATGGAGACGCACGTTTCCGCAACGTCTTCGGACAATAAGATACAGCATTGGGAAGAGAATGCTGAATTTTTCGATCACTGTACGACTTCCTGTCCCCAATTGAAGCCACCTGGCCGGTCTTCCGGCGGTGGCATATAATCTGGATCTTCGGGATGTGCGTCAAACAAAGTCTTACTACGAAAGAAAGAAATGTACATATGTTATCTCTCTCACCAGTAATCTACTGTATGCTACTACAGTATGCTTATCATCTTCAAGACACTTTAAAACCTCGATAAAGTCTGATCAAGAACTTAATTAATAAATAAGCTGTTGTGATTTGTTTGATTTTAAATAATAATTTTAATTTCAGTGTTAAGTTACTTACAGTATTTGCGGAGTTTTCAGAATTCGGAAACCGCCTCTTAACCGGGGAAATACGTCCTCCGCGAAATAGTAAGTATGTCCTACCGCCATCCCCACAAGATCAACCCATATCGTATTGCCAAGCAGCACAGAGAAGCCTAGCAGCACCCACGGTAAATACGGAGCCTGAAAAAAAAAAATCAAAATCATCAGTAATTAGTCGGTAATCAGCGTGACAAGTCACTTATCGAATACACGTCAGAATAATGATGCAATAGCTTATTATATTACGTAGACCGCAATATTAAGAAACCAATAACGTCTGAGCCACGTGTACATATATTTAAATTGGACTTGCTTGGAAGTTCAAAAGTCCGAAGAAGTTCATCCTGACAAAAGGATTCCGTCGCGACCACACGTACACCAACATTATTGTGAATGCGTGCCCGAGGAACAGCAAATTAACGAAGAATGCAAAAGTCTATGGATATAGTTAAGGAATAACGATAAAATATTCTCAATAAAAACAACATTCTCTTGAAAATAGTAACGTTAATAATTATAATTACTATAATTTTAAATGTTATTTAAAAGTGCTGTTAATTATTATTGAGTGATGTAATCTAATTTAATTATTAATATAATATTACTAGGTTCGTATTGCTTGTACTCAAAATCTTCGTTTTCTCTCTCTTCAACACACGAATATATATATTTATCTCGGTTTAAATGCAAAAATTTTTCAAGATTTCAAGCAAAATGAACAGACTACATATTATGGAATTGTTCAGAATGGATTTCAAAATTATTCAATTATTCCCTAGATTTCCATTGTGCTTTCTAGGGAAAACGAAATAATTTCGATCAGAATCTATTTCGAACAGCTCCATCATACGTGCCCAGGGAGTACAATTGAATGTTGCCGTGATTATAATTACTATTGGAATTCTAACGAGATTGATATTTTGCCAAGGATACAATCATGCATATTCCGCCGAAGATGAACATCATCACGAAATCAGCTGTTCTCCTGCGGAAGGACCCTTCCTCCAACATACGGCAATATCGATACGTGAAGATCATATTGAATAATAGGTTGAACCCAACATTTCCGAAGAACAGGAATGTTGTTATTAATCGCCATATCTGAAATAATAATCCAACGTAACGCTCTAGGAAATTTACGGTTATATTATGATGTTTGATAAAAGCCAGGGGAAAAAAAGTGCAGATCTATGCATGTAAATTTTCAATGACATTAATGACTATCTTATATAACGAAGCCACAGCCACTTTGCATAGCTATTTGCATATCTGTACCTGGTATTGCTCCACAATAAGGATGGGATTGAAATACAGTTGAAACGGGGATACCAAGTCTAATTGCTGAAACATTTTTAAAGTAGTTACATCGCAATTACGTCGCACATACATCTTATTAAGCTCAATTAAAGTTACTCCCGACTTAATTATCGTCAGACTCGTCTAGTGCGTAATGTCACTTCTATACAATCGCTAGGGCAGGCATCGGGACGATATAAGCTGAGTCATCGATGTGAGCTCGAGCGTGAGATTGGACGATCTCGAACTTGACATCTCAAACTTAAACGCTCGCGAGGAACAATTGGGACTTCGAGAATTCGAAAGTGTGAAGGAATCTGGTGCAAAGATTTCTAAACCCGCGCGTAGCCGACCGGAGGCCGACGGCGACGACGAACGCAGGGGCGCGCAGCGGGTCGAGCGGGGCGGGAGGGGGAGGGGGGGTGAAAGAGAGAGAGAGAGAGAGAGAGAGAGAAAAAAAACGCGCGAGATAGATACCACGGCGAGGGTCGTGATGACACAGGCGGTGGTGTAGGCCCGCGTCACCACGGGCATCTGCATGTACTCGTGCCATAACGCTTCGTAGGCCATTGGCATCGATTGTCGGCGATCTCACGCCCGTGAGCTTCCTTCCTTCGCACCGAGACCACGAGTCGCCGCTCCCCTCAAGCTCGGCCCGCTTCACCATCGCATGTTCGCAACTGCTGACGACGCGCGGCGGCAACGTTACCTGCACATCGTATCCGTAACCCGCGAACACGGCGCGAATACGTCGTCCGCGCAGACAACACACGCGATTTTTGTACACGTAACACGTGAAACTGTCGGCGAGAGGCGCGCGGCGCGGTCCTGGGGGAAAATCCGCGCGGGGTAACTACGCCACGGCGTGGCGTCGGCGCGCCGCCGCGCCAATCCCCCACGCGCGGCGGGGGGGCTCGTGACTTTTCCGCCGACGGGTTGCCGATCTGGCCATCGATCACACCGCGCGAAACGGTGAACTTCACCACCAACCTCTCGTCCGTCCGTCTCGCCGACCGCCGTCGCGCCGCGGATTGTTTATCCTCCCGTAACAACGTTCGGACGGACGCGGGGAGTCGCGGCGGTTCTCGGGGATTCTCTCCTCCATCGAGGACGCACGGGACCGCTGACGCTCCGATCGACTCGAGGAAATAATCTCCGGGTAGTTGAGGATGGTTCTCACGAAGGAGTACCGCATTTGCATGCCGCTCACCACGGAGGAGGTATAACCTTTGCTCGTCACACACTCGCTTATTTAATTATTTACTCGATGAACGCGAGTGTTTGGCCTTACTCGCCTGAAAATTATCCGTCGCTGCGTGCCGCTCGTTGGCCCTTTTTTTCCGATTTTTAATGAGAATTGCTTCGCGATGACCGATCAATTTCTTTGTACAGTACCGCATCGGTCAGCTGTACATGATCGCCCGACATAGTCATGAGCAATCCGATAACGACGAGGGCGTGGAGGTGGTGGAAAACACCGTCTGCGAGGATCCCGTTCACGGAAAGGGCCAGTACACTGAGAAAAGGATCCATCTGTCCAGGTGAGTCGTGTTTTTAACCCTCTATCCGGAACATGTCGAGAAACGCGTTTTGGACTAATGATTTTTGGACAGAATTTTATGTAGGGTAACTATTCCTATTAGTGTGCCTGTACGTCTCTATTAGTGTGCTTTTATATTTAAATAAGTCATAAAAATAAACTGGTACAAATAAATAGACAAAGTGTTTTTTTATTAAGTTAATACTTTAACTTAATAAAAAAAACACTTTGTCTATTTATTAAGTTAATACTTTAACTTAATAAAAAAAACACTTTGTCTATTTATTTGTACCAGTTTATTTTTATAACTTATTTAAATCATCTTTAGTTAATACTTTAACTTAATAAAAAAAAACACTGTCTATTTATTTGTACCATTTTATTTTTATGACTTATTTAAATATAAAAGCACATTAAAACATACAGGCACACTAATAGGGACAGTTACCCTATTTTTTTGGCAAAAATTTAGTTTACGTTTGGTTAACCCTTTACCCTGGATACCCGGTTACATGAAGCACCCCGTCATAATGACCGCTATTCCAGAAAAACAGGAGTTTTATTCATTTTTCGACTGGTGTAAATGTGTACCTTAGCGGTCATAATGACCGATATTCTGGGTAGAGGGTTAAATATACAGTGTGTTAAATGCACAGTATTATAGCAGATATTAGGGTAGCTTTATAGCAGCTTGCTTTCTTAAAACAAACACTGTAACTTGTTTTCCTTTCAGTAAACTCCCTTATTGGATCCAGTCCATCCTGCCACGAATATTTTACGTGACGGAGAAAGCGTGGAACTATTTTCCCTTTACTATCACAGGTATGTTTTGCATAATGCAATCATAATTGATCTTTTATCAAATTTTATAGTTGATGCTTTAGAAGTTGGAAGTAGCCTGATCTCTTTTAGCACTGATAAAAATAATGATTTTCAAATCTTACAGTTTTCAAAGAAAAGGTCTCATTTTTTATAGTTAGAATATACACTGTTTGTACTTAAAATGAAAAGGTAAAGGTACATGTTTGAAATTTGGCGAAAGAAAAATTTTAGTGCAATAAAAAAACAAACCTAAAGTTAAATTATTTTATTAACACTTTTGTTTTCTTGCATGTTTGTTCGTGCCTGGTGGCTGCAGAATACACTGTGAGTAAAACGTTTTTTAAAATGAATATAATTTTATACATAAAATTTTCTGTTATTTCTAAATTTCTTTTTTTTTTCAGTGTTCCTTTATACCAAAGTTCCACATAGCGATAAACACACGGTACGAGGACAACAACGGCTCCACGGAAAATGTGAGTAATTGTACATCACGCACGTTTTGTTAACTCATATGTAGTAATGTGAGTAATGTAATTAGAACAATATTAATAATCAAAAATTCACAAAAATGTTGTCAATACGTGCCTACGCTGTTGTTGAGGCGTGAAAAAATAATTTTAATTTAAATCATGAAATGTCATATAATCAATTATATAATTACATACATGTATATGATGAAAAAAATACGTTTGGATCCGTGATGTGAATTCTCTTCAGTAAATAAATTATGCTTCCCCATATGGTACCAGTCCCTTTCTCTCACACGACAGTCAAACAGTAAAATGGTCACTGTGTGAGGAAAAAAAGACTGGTATCATATGAACAAACGTAATTTATTCACTGAAGAGAATTCACATCACGAATCGAAAAGTCTGATTTTACTGTATCATGTGTAACTATAAGAGATGTTAGAACAATCGTATAATTTAATTTGACAAAATTAAAGTGCGACGTTTCGACTTTTATAAATTTGCTTCAGCCGCAAAAAGTCTGCTTGTTCCACTTTATTATTGTCAAATTAAATTATATGATTATATTCTAACATCTCTTTGCTCGTTTTATTGGCCTCTATTCCCTTTCTAGTTTTTATTTCTTTCTAAATACGAGCCAATATACAATTTTTGCATTAGATTCTTTCTTAACCAAGATTTTTTAATAGGAGCCAAAGTACCAATTGATTTTTTTATCCTATATTTGTATCGTGCATAATTATATAATTGATTATATGACATTTTATGATTTAAATTGAAATTATTTTTTCACGCCTCAACAACGGTGTAGGCTTGTATTGGTAACGTTTTCGTGAATTTTTTATTTATTTGGAGCCATATATAGTATATTATGTAGTATATTATTCTATTTAATATTAGTAAATGATTCTATTCTATTAAATTGCAGTGCTTAGGACTGTCACCTATTGAATTGATTCATCGAGAAGTCGATTTTGTGGATATTGCATACGACGAGCTCTCCGCGAAACATTACAAAGAGGAGGAAGTAGGTTCATTTACAACATTGACCCACATATAATTCCTAACATTACATTTTCTTGAAACGAAAGGAAATAAAAGCCAATATAACGAGCAAACAGGAGATGTTAGAATAATCATCGTATAATTTAATTTGACAATATTAAAGCGCGATTTTACTAAATTTTGCTCCAGCCGCTAGAAGTTTGCCTGTCCCGCTTTAATATTGGCAAATTAAATTATATGATCATATTCCAATATCTCTGCTCATTTTATTGACCTCTATTCCCTTACGTTTTTAATTTCTTTCTAAATACGAGACACACAATTTTTGCATTAGATTCTCTTCTAATCAAGATGCTTTAATTGTAATAGGACCCAAAGTACTTTCAATCGAAAAGAACAGGTCGTGGGCCTCTGGTTGAAGGTTGGCGGGAAACAACGCAACCCATAATGTGCTCATACAAATTGGTTCATGCCTCGTTCGAGGTCTGGGGCATGCAAACGCGAGTGGAAGATTTCATACATAGAGTAAGCTTGTCTAATTGATCATACGCCTGCCTTACATTTCACTGATATTTTTTTAACAATTATACAAATTTTTAACAATTTTACAAATTATACAAATCATATTTTACGTCATTCAATATTAAATATTTTCTGAACAGTCATAATAGAAAATATTTAATATTGAATGACGTAAAATATGATTTTGATTTCATACAGATTGTATGTGCAATATTCAAAGAACAGTGCCTAAGAATAATTTCCGATAACATAAAAATAAAATTGATTAAAGATTAATCAAAAAATGATTTCTAATAATTATTTTGTCACGGTAACTGTTCTGCTTGAATAGTTCACTAAAACCTAGTTTTTTTTCAATAAAAATACATTTTTTGTGAATATAGGTTATCTCCATTTTCTCTCTATGATTTTAGTGTATAAGGGACGTTCTACTGCTGGGTCACAGACAGGCCTTCGCCTGGATTGACGAGTGGTATGACATGACTCTGGAAAACGTACGACAATATGAACAGAAAATGCAAGCCGAAACAAACGAAAAAGTCAGGCTGAAAAATCAACTTGATGAGACACAACAAACCGCTACGCCAGCTACGCCGTCCTCGTCTACGCCAACTACGCCGAAATCGCCCACACAACGATCATGGTTTTCCTGGTCGTAGCCGTAATTAGTGCAAGTCGAATTTGGTCTCTGCGGCAATTTTTCGTCGCTCCGGTTAATATTATACGAAGGAAATGAATAGCATTCTCATTGCTCATGTCTCAGAGAATGCGCAAATCAGTCATGACATATTCTTTAAATGAATTTTACATTAGTAGTTTAATCGGTGGTTTTACCGTAGTAAAAATTTGTGCAGTTTTCCTGAAAATACAAGAAAAGTAATTTTAAAGAATGTAAGTAAAACTTCTATAAAACTTTGTTATCATTAATCTAGTTTTAAGTATTATACATATATATAGTCAATATCTTTTTCGCGAAGGAAAACCCTGAGAAGGAAAGGAGGACAGTTGAAAGATAATAGTCGATAATAATTTTTAATTTTTTTTATATAAATAATTTTTAATTTCAAATAAGAGAAAGTATTAATGTTATCTTTATTAATGAATATGTCTCTAATTGATTGCTGCATTTTTTTGGAATGTCCTGTATACATAGGTATAGTTCCATACACGTTCTATAAATAGGCTTGCCGCGAAACGATTTCTACTTATGTACTTTCGTATCGAAATACACCTGAATACACCTGAAAACATCGCACTCTCCCGTGTGCGATTGCACTGATAAATTTTAGGAATGCCTAAAGGAAGTTGGTCTAAGTCATTCCACGAAATGACATACAGTTAAATTTTGAAATTCAATTAAATCATGAAGTTTAACTGCACACTTTGGTCACACCTTGTATACGCAAATAAGTTTCACTTGCGTTTTGCTCGCGCATTAGTAATAAATTATTTTTATCGTGTACAATTCTATAATGTTATTTATTTATAATACATGAAACTTTTATTTGCAGTTTAATGTATAGAGGCACTGGAAAAGATATGAAAATATATGTGTTTGCAAATAATTCCTTACTGGTTTAAATAAACATCATTATTACAAGTACATTTTATCAGTTTTAATTAAGATTGATAATTATTATTATTCACTGGCAGCACATGGACATAATATTTTAATTGAAGTACAATTGTGAGCTATTCGGTCGATTCACAGACAATTTATAAACAAAATTGCAACGATATAAATACAGTAATTTGCATTGATTATCAAGTTTTTAATTAGGATTAGCAATTGCCGGATGTAACCTGCCAACGACTGGACGTTGTAACGGTGTAATAAGAACACGTGCCATTTCGCCAACGTGACCTGTCAGCAAAATTTTATTGAATCGTTAGCAAACGCTACCAAGTTTTTAATATTCTTACCATTATTAAGAATTGTAGATTAAAATAATGAATATTCTATGAAGTAATAATACATATCTCTTAATAAATATACATAAATTAATAAAAATTAAAATTGTCAATTAATAATATCTTACAAATATTCCAATGATCTCTAAGTCGAATGATAGGATATAATAACAATGAAAATTCTTGCCATCTCGTTAATGCTTCAGTTTCATCTGGTGAAATCGAAGCTATCTAAAAATAAATGGATTACAATTGTAATTTTAGAAAAATTATTTTTAAAATAATTACACTAAAATAATTACATTAAATTAAACATGATTCATAGTTAAGCTAAGAAATTTTTCATGAGTTTTTATCTGCTTTTCCAGTAAAGATTTCTTACATCGGTGTAACTCCTTGTGGAATTTATGGTATCCGTACAAATGCTGCCATGTTGTTCATCGCGACGCAGTTGCGCAGCGGCTTCCGTAATTAATTCGCTAAACCTGGCTGCCACTTGTTTCCATCTTATTAAGTCATCAGGCTACAAAAAAAATAAGACCAAAATAAATTATTTGAAATAAACATTTTTAAGAATGTATTTTGTGAGGTTGAATTTAAATGCGTGATTATTTTTTTTTCACTTAGAATGAAAAATAAAAGATTTAAGAATTAATATGTCTAACAAGAAGCAAAATTCTCAATTGAAAAGAATAATTTTATAAATTGTACGTATGTAAGATTTTCAACTCTAAACATTTTTATATAAGATGAATTGATTAGAATGTTCTTTAATATCGAGCAATTATAAATAATATATTATTACGGATAAATTAAAAAACACTGGCAAAAGCGCAACAGGTAATGGAGATCCGCGCAATTCGGAACACTCGGATGGAGGTCCTGACAGAGTTAAGTGCCTTAAAAGATCCAGGACATGGATCAGAAGCTCGCCATGACGACCACCGACATCCTGTCTAATAAGTCCTAAAGCATCTTGCGCAATAACTTGTGCCTCCACGCCTGGATTGTCAGCTGATCGTACGTAAAAAATTAAAACTTACTCATATTATTCGTGGAATGTACAAAGTTCATAAAATATCTTGAATTAAAAATTGAACAATTAGTAAAAACCTGTTAACAAAAATTAGGTACATGCGAACATAATAGAAAATATATTAAAAAAGATTTATTTCAATGTTCGCAAATGCTTACTTCTGAAAATCTGAATTCATTTCAATGCTCAATGCCTTTATATTTATTTAAGAATTGCATGAAGCACATTTTCTATGCCATTCAATCCAAAAATAATTTCCGTTTTAAAAAGTAAATCGTGAATATTAGTTAATTCAAAAATCTAAGTAGTGTTTCAATCTAATTAAATTCAAAAGTTTTTCCATGAAAATAAACCATGAACGCTATTCTATTCAAAATTGTGAATAAGAAATGCATGTTTCGATCCATCTAAATTCAAAAAATATGTTATATTCGTATCATGAAATAAAAATGCATTCATTTCCACGAAAGTTAATCCATAGATTTAAAAATTTCAATCCATTTTAATCTATTTTCGTTTATCAAAAGATTCATTTGTCATCAAAATTTTAATTTTAGTTTTGACGTTATGAAAGTGTCGGAATTCACCAAAACTGACGTTTTGCTGACGTTTTATAAACCGATGGACGGATTGCGCGTTTTCGTTTTATCGACAAATAAATTTCAAGGCAAATATTCTTCGCCGTTCTGTTACACAATTAATTGCATTTCTAATTTATAATTTCACTTTTTACTTTATATTTACCAAGGATTAATTCTTGCACATGCTGCGGCATAATTGGTTTCTTTAGGCGGCTGAGAAAAATTTGCAAAGCCGCCGCGCATTCCAGAGCCGCATTCGAATTTTCAAAGTGTGGTTTATGGCCCTTTTTCAGAGAATTCAAGATATGCCGTCGAACCTCACGACGTCCTGCTCGCCGGAATAATCCTTCCACTCTAGCGTCTTTGGTGCAGAATTAAAATAATTGTTAAATTGTCATATTGTTAGAATTTAAAACATACACAATACACATGTTATTTGCAATACATAAAGTAAACTTACGCTTTTTCAAAAAGTGTATAAGTACTTTTACTACATCCAAAGACTTCTGCGATATTATATCGTCACCTGTATCCTGCCTGAAGATGAAAAAAACGTGGAAGTGAACATTAAGAAACTGACAAGAAAAAAAATAAACAAATGATTTGCTTAAAAATTAATGGATACAGGAAGTGATTGATGCAACGCGGAAAACATTTCTGTTCTCGGTATTGCGTGTCCTCGCTGCATCCCTCGCATACGAGCTTATAAAGAACCGTCGCTGTTCCTTTTTTCGAATCTTTTAAGTATGTCGAGACAAATTTCTCGTCGATATTTGTTATTTTATTTGTCCGTGAGTGCGATCCTAGCTTGCGGATCGGCCCGAAGGATTCCTAGAGAAGCAGCCTGTCCCTCGTGTGATCAAAACTATTTAAAAGTCTTGCCCGCCAAGTTATTACCATGGTAAGAATATAATTCGAGCTCAAGTCAAAATAGATATGTAGACGTTAATTAAAAACTGATCAATTTCTGAGGATTTAAACAATAATAAGTAAAAATCGAACGATATGTGACTAACATAAATAAAGAAGAGAAGTTTTATTCGATCGGAATACTTTGGTGTCTAATAATATTTTGTGTGAATTTTATTATTTCTAGTTAATTTATGCAAACTGCACCAATTATTAAATTCGTGTCTTTCTTTGCGTTTACAAACTTAAATTTTCAAGCATAACAGAAACTAAAAAATTCAACCAAACCAGAATATGCCTCTTATTAAAAAAAAAAATCTAAGAAGTCTGCAATTTTAGAATGTAGAGAGATTTAATCTTTGCAGAGAGAAATTTAATTTTGGAAAAAGATTTTATTTCTCTCACATTACAAGTAATAAATTACAAATATCGAACGTATTAATATGAAAGAGTAGAAGAGTAGAAAACGATCGTCAAATAATGTATAATTTGCTTTGTCAGGTGCTTTTAAATCGCAACTCGCTGGCTCGTGTAAAGAGACACTGTCCGGTCTCGCATGAATTCTTTAGCGCTGAAACACGACCGTGTCTTCTACATAACATCGTCAAATGATAAAATTGAAATATCCGGACACATCGTAGGACTGTATTAAAAAACGCGAAAAATTAATGAAAATATAAGAAAAAAGTCAAAAATTAAAACTTACATAGTAGTCAGACGTGTCAGGATTTGAGTATATGTAATTAATGACGGCTCGAAGTCTTGTCAGACTTAGATAAAAACACGGGAACGTATATTATTAATGCAATCAATGTCTTCGGGGAGATGGAAGCGTCACGATGTCATAAACAATTCTGAGTATATCACATCAATAAAGTGTCATTTTGGAGATTTAATCCACGTTTTTGTCTATATATGTCGATTATCTTAGATATCAGTCTCTTTCTTAAAAATTTTTTTCATCAAAAATCTCAACATTTTTCCAATCAAAGTCATGTAAACATTCTTTTCGATACTCTGTAATAACAGAATGTTGTTTCGAGATTCTTTTAATATGATTTTTATGTTTATAACTTGACTTTAGTTTTAAGAAGTCTTTTTGTTAACCCATGTAAATAAGATGCATCACAATTCTTACAGTTAATTTTATAAACCACGTTTGATCGAGAAAGTGTAGGCAACTTATTTTTTTGAACCCGGATGAATCTATACTTAGCTTATTTGGCCTCGTATAGATCATATTTTATCATTTGACGATACATGGTATATTTAAAAGCATTTGATGAAACAAATTGTACACTATTTGACGACCGTTTTCTAATATTTTATGTTAATATATGTTCGATTTTTGTAATTTATTGTTTTTTCACTGAAGATGATCCAAAACTCGGGTCGAAACGTTTAAATATAATTTATTATATCAATTATTAATATAAAATATACTTTTGCATGCATACAGCCGGCTCTTATATAGGCAATTTTATTTTCTTAACTTTAGTCTCTAAAGCCTATTCTTTTTTTAGTTATAAGTGTTATAACTTATGATTCTTTTAAAATTTAAAAAAATTTATATAAATCTAATGATCAAAATAATTTGTAAATTTCAGGAATCCCCATCAAGAATCAAATCGGCGAGATTCCATCAATCCGCCTCAAAATTCCCCTTATTCTCGTTTGATGCGAGGAAGAATCTCTCAGAATGTAGCACGCGATGACAACGTTCCATTGGCTCAAAACTACAGAAGATTCCATCAACAAGAACCTTACACAAATAAAAATTTGTTTTCCAAAAACTATCTAAATAATTCTCCGAAATTCTTAGACAGCCAAGAAATAATTTCCGAGAATAAACCTGTGAGAGGATATCCTCCTGTTCTTCCATCGAGACAAGTTTTCGACAGACCAGAAAATTTGTTCTTCAGAAATCCTCGCCATAAATATTCAGAGGAAGCATCCTTGTCAGAGGTCTATAAAGGGACGAAGGGCTATAAAAAGATCGAAGAGGATCCTATGAACGAAGTACAAGCCGTGTATCGCGACGATAGAGATACAAATTCTTCGTGGAAGAATTCGAGGGACACTTTTTCTTCAAACGTTATGCAGTCAGAGAAATCCTTCCCTAATATTGAAAACGTTTATCAACTTCGCCGGGAGGACAATCTCGACGAGGAAAGGAATGCAATCAGGAAGTCTTCGAATTCTGCCAGTCAGCTTAGGCTCACATATCCTCAAGAAAGATATACTCCCATAGGATTCAGTCCGTCAGAAATTAAGCGTGATTCTTATGTCAAGGATGCAGATATCTCAAAATCAACGAAAGAATTCTTCGATAATTGGGACATCGCTAAGGATTCGTTGCAATTCTCGAATCGGGGACAGTTTAGAAATAATCTCTTAGAGGTATATCCTGCGAAAAAGCAAGAAATTATTGACAGAGACGATAACGAACAAATCAATTCTAATTCTTATAATTCTAAGTTCCCTCAGGATTTAAATATATGGGGACCAAAAAAGGATGAAAAGTCGTTCGATTCTCCGACGACAGCAAATGCTAGACCTTTCGAAAATAAAAAAGATGATGAGGATATGAAAAAATATTTTGACAATACTGAACGTTTTATGAATGACAAGGATATAAAAGAATATTTTGAAGACGAGAGTGAACACTATATGGACGATAAAGATATGAAAGAATATTTTTATGATGACGAAACTGAACGCTTCATGAATGACAAGAACGTGAAAGAATATTTTGATGACGAGACTGAACAGAATACCTTCGAGACTGCACGAAGTAATCCTCGTGTCTTGCCTCAGAATATTTGGAAGGGACGAGAAAACGAAAAACTCGACAATTTAGATTTTATGCGCGACAACTCGCAACAGACGTGAGAATTGGATTTATACTCTGAAGAAAATAATAAGTATTTCCAGGACGAGCAAAACGAGGATGCAAGCTTTCGAGACAGAGCATACGCCAATGCCGAAACTGCTCGCGCACCCGCGATTAACGCTTACACATATCCTCGCTACTTGAATGTTGTAAATCATGAAAAGAATTCTGCCAAGTCCGAGACGCAGGAATTATCGGAAGCTAAAAACAATATACGCGCAAATTCTGTAAAAAAAATGGATCACAGATTCTTCGAGGACGAGACTGTTGTTGAGGACAACATTCAAGATCTTCCTAAGAATATTTACGACGTAGAAGAATATGGCGATTCTATCAACAGACGGAATAATATAAGAAATAAGAACGAGGCTTTGACAGAACTCGATCCTGATTTAGTGGACGACATTGAAAATCCTCCAGTGGAAACAACCGAATCGACACTAATGTAATCTTTCATTTTAATTTTCTTAGTGATAAAATAATTGAGTTTAAAATAATTGATATTATGGACAGATATCTCTCAATTGAATTACGTTTTATTTAAGAATTTTTTTTAGGATTTACTTTCTTCTGATAAAAACGTCGACAGATCAATGATTTTTAAATTATTTAATTGCAAATTATTGAAAATAATAGCTTTAAGGAGGGAATTTACTTTACAAGACTAAAAAAAAAACGGTGATTTTTAAGAATTTTTTCAACTAAAATAAAATGAATAATTTCAAAAGTTTAACAGTATTCTACTATATATTTAAGTAGTAAAAGAAGATTTTTATTATATTATAATAAATAATGTTTTTTAAATAATAAAATGTCTTGATAACGTCGCGTTATTGACGAAAATTACGCCTCCTAGATTATACACAATGGAACTCCAGTAATGCGACATTACCAAGACATTCTATTATTTATTAAGAAAAAAATTTTTTTACTGCTCAAATGTACAGTAAAACACTGTTAAATTTTTAAAATTATTTACTTTTAATTAGTAATTAGAAAAGGCACTCAAAGTCAAAACGCGGTAATTGTTGCGTGGTTTTCTCGAATATAAAATTCTGTACGCGACGTTATATTATACTTGACGAGGTGTGACTCGTAACACGATCGCTGCGAATTTTTCATTATAACCAAATTGCCTTGTTTTGGAGTGTGATGACTGATCTTTTAATCAGACAATTGGAAACGATGCTCACACATTACGGAACTTCTACCTAACTTCTACCTGTCACTGTGGAATAATATACAGAATAATGCGAAGGTGAATAACTAAATTGCGTTTAATATAAGAGTTATTATCAGAGTTTTGTATTGTTGATGAGAAAGGCCTGAGGAAGGCTGAAACGTACGTGTATTGTCAATATATTGAAGAATTTTATATTCGAGAAATTAAATTAACCACGCACCAATTACCGCGTTTTGACTCTGGTTGCCTTTTCTAATTATTAATTATTTTAATCTAAGAGTCTAATACATTATTAAGTTTATTTACTTTTATTTTAGTTGAAAGAAAACTTCTAGAAAATCATCGTTTTTTTAGTCTTGTAAAGTTATAGATTTCCCCCTTAAAAAATATATAGTTAAAGATACAGTTAAGTTGCCAAAAAAATATTTAATGTAGAAATTGAATCATTTATTTTTAAAAATCAAATAAATTAAAAAAGGTCATAGAAATAAGTTCAAATAAAAAACAGTAACAGAGCTGACAAGCCAAGCTGGGTGTACATGCTAATAATACGAGTATGTATTGATTGAGGTGGTAAATAATATCTTCTATACAATATAATATAAATAATTAACATACAAAATATACCAGATGTTTCGACCCTTTAATAGCGGTCATCCTTATGTTAGTGGAATTTTAACGCAACTTACTAAATCTCAAACCATTCGCTCGCAATTTACATTAATATGTTGTTTTTAACAAAGCTTTGCCTTGTCCAAATCTTTTAGAAAACGTCCGTATTCCATCTAGAACCAATGTGTTTTACAATGAAATACATTGTTGCATTTGAATATCCAGAAAGTTATGCACTGTAGAGAAAAAGCACACAACAGTCAGGATTGAGAAAATAATTAAATAAATAAATAAAATAAAGATATAATTAAATACTTAAAAATCATAAAATTAAGAATGTAAAGGTAAAATAAAGATGGTCAGTTCAATAAAAGGGTGTGTAAAAAAGAAAATTAAAAATCAATAGTCAAAGACGAAATGAAGGCAGAGGAAACCATTCGAAGAAAGATAGAGAAGAAGAAAGAATGTGGAAGGGAAATAATGTTCCCTTCCACATCCTTTCTTTTTTCTATTTTTTTTTAATAGCTTCCTCTACCTTCATTCCGTCTTACGTCTTAGAAGCGTACACATTGTAACATAAAGGCTTCAGAATTTTAATATTTGACAATTAACTATATTTTATATTTGAATCAAAATGTAAGTTACTGTTAAATATTAACGCTATCTTTTAATTTACATTGACTATTGATTTTTAATTTTCTTTTTTACACACACTTTTATTAAACTGACTATCTTTAATTTACCTTTATATTCTTAATTTTATGATTTTTAAATATTTTATTTATTTATTTAATTATTTTCTCAATTTTGACTGTTGTGTGCTTTTTCTTTACAGCATAACTTTCTGAATATTTAAATGTAACAATGTATTTCATTGTAAAACACACTGGTTTTAACATAGATGAATTATGAACGCTTTCTAAAAGATTTGGACGACAAGGCAAAACTTTGTTAAAAACAACATATTAATGTAAATTGCGAGCAAATGGTTTAAGATTTAATGTCACTGAGACTTACCGCTATTAAAGAGTCGAAACATCTGGTATATTTTGTATATCAATTATTTATATTATATTGTATAGAAGATTATTTACCACCTCAATATATATTATTAGCATGTATACCTAGCTTGGCTCGTCAGCTCTGTTATTATTTTTAATTTGTATCATTTATAATTAAATATGATCTGTCTCGATATTTTTACGAAGAAAAATTGATTTCAAATTAATTAAAGATTTCATAAATTAAGTGTATGGCTTATGCTCGATCTGAGATATCTTGTATAATTTTCATCACTGTATTATTGTTGTGAATTGTAACTGGAAGCATTCTATTAGGTTTAATATAAGGAAAAATTGTCAATACACTTTGAAGATAAATAAAAATCTGTTATTTATTGTTAATATGTTAAGTTTTTAATTAATTAGTAATATTAAAATATATTTAATGCACTAAATAATAAAACATTGAGATTGCATATAACTAAAATTTCTTGTACATGTTTTATTTGAAAAGAAAGGTTTCTGTAGTACAAATTCAGTACTTTTTCCAAATCCACTATTATTCCAAAATGAAATAAATAGGCCGTCAAAGAAAATTATTTATAATTTTTTACTTTATTATATAATTTTATTTCGCTTATAAATTATTAGCAAATCACGAATCGCAATTTGCTAATGCGCACTGTATCGCTCGTACAATTTTGCAAGCGTACGAATTATTTCGTCGACTATGAATTGTAAGAACAATGAAAATTAACATTAATTAAAATATTTGTAACAGGTGATTAATGATCGGCAATGATATTAAATAGTTATTTCAGTTGTTATACATTTTGTCTATTATGTTATAAAAAAGTTTTCCATTTCTTTTTAAAGATTATAGCTTTGACATATTTTATAATATATTTCAAATCATAGTGTAATATATAATGTATAATGACAATTTAGATACATATATATGTATACATAATATATGTTTGATATAACATATAATATAATTTATAATATATTTCATTTCACACATATTTCAAATCAATGGTGGATTCGGAAAATATTTTGAATTTATATTACAGAGAGAACTTTCTTTTTAAATAGAATAAATACACTGTTGAAAAAAATATGTTAAATTTAACATAAATCCCATGTCCCAAACGGTCAAATTTTTGTATTAATTCAACATAATATAGATGTGTTTAATGTAACACTGATTCTATGTCAATTAATAAAATTTTTTACACACATTTTTATTGAAGTTCAATTAACATGACAGATGTATATTAAATTTACATATGAATGTGTTAATTGCTTAACACAAAAATTTTAACCAGTAGATTTTTTAACAAAAATACATATTTTCTAACTGTATACAGAAAAATTTTAATTAAGAGCAATTTCAATGTTTCCACTATTTATTGCATCAAATATCGCAATTCAATTTTATTTTTATCTCAATTCTTCTTTTAAAATATGAATTTTTCGAACTTATTGTCAACATGTAAACATTGTCAACATGTAACAAAAAAGCAGATAAATTAAACGAAAGATTATGATTTTTAGCATCCATATAGATAAAATAAAATTTTATATCAATAATCTTTTTTTATACGATTAAATCTCGTTGTCGTGCTTATGAAACTGGATTTCGGCTGCGGAATTTGACGTATAAGCGAAAAGAAGTGCGTAAAAAAATGTGAGTGGCGACATATGTACGTTGCGAAACGAATAACAGTGCTATGAAATCGACACAATTATAAATGTCTACTGATACACAGCAAAATTATCAAGTTGATTTTACAACAGTGCATTCGTATTTGCTAATAAGCATTCTTAAACTCAGAGTATGTGCACAATGCAATACAAATTCGTAAAATGCCATTACACGATGTTAAATTTGATATATAAAATTCATTTGTTACATTATTAATTTTCCTTCGATGAGTTAAATAATAATAATTTATAGAGTAATAGCTAGTTAAAAAATTAGAAGTCAAATAATAAAGATAAAATATTAATAACTACTTGTAATTTAACTTAGGTGTTTTTAAATGTATTAACTTTCAACTTCAATTACTTATTTTAAATCATATTAATTTATTAACGTTTTCCTAATAAGTTAAATTTTTTTGTCTCTTTAAAAGTACTAATATTCTTTTCTTCTATAAAAAGTTTGATCATTAGACAATGTTAGATAATTGGCTTTTGGATTCTCGCGATTGTCCGATAACTTAGTTACTTTGAATAAAAGGAAAACAATTTTACTATTATCTTTGAGGATTTAAAAAGAAAATTAAAAATAAAAATTTTGAAAATTAATACTTATTAAATTCAATGATTATATATAGAAAAATTTAATAACTATGTATAACGTGTATTCTACATTATGCTTCATTACAATTATTATTGTATTATTGTTACAAATAATTAAAAGAAAAAATATATTTATTTTTAGAAAGTTTACTTTTTTATTTTTTTATACAGACTTTATTTATAAAACGATATTTAATTTGTCGTATTATTTCATATTATTTTTAATTTTACTCGTTTAAATTAAAGTTTAAAAAAATGGTAATAATTACATATTTAGTTTAATTTAATAATTTTTTTAAAAATTCTAAATTTAATTTAAGAATATTTAATTTTAACTTAACTTTTTACGCAATTATGTTCATTTTATAGCTATTAAATTTAATTTTAACAATTAAGAAAAAATTATCTTACCCTAATCTTAATAATTTTATAAAACTCAGTCATATATTTTTAATTCTGAGTTTATTTTCAGGTGCAAAAAGAATTCTTTTTTTTGCATCTGAAGATAAACTCAGAATTGATGACATGACTAAGAGATTTTTTTTAACTCTCTATCTGGAAAATATACTTATATAATATAAATATTAAATACTGTAAAATTATCAAGTTAAAATAAGATAATTTTTTCTTAATTAAGTTAAAATTAAATTTAATATATATAAGATTAACTATAAGATTAACTTAATACAACTGATTCTACGAATTAATTCTTTTTGAATTCTCTATGTGCTATCTGTGTTATCTTATAAGTATAATGTAAGTACAATATTATATTATACTTACAATATAAGCATACTCTATATTAATATTACATTATTACACCGCATAAATATTTAATAATAATATATATAAGTATACTAATAATAATTATATTAATAATGTATAAATGCATTTAAAGAAATTAATAATATGTTATTTATTTTAATAATACTATTTTACAAAAAAATTTTTTGTTACTTTGAATCAGACTACGTATTTCTTATAGTTTTTTTAATGCTAAAAACGATATATTAATTTTATATCATTATACCACATAAGTATAATTATTAAAATAATATATAAATATATTATATATTATAATAATATATAGTACCCGATATTCAATCGGATAATTCCGGATTGTAAAAATCACTAATTTATATACTTTTACTTTTTAAATTAGCCATGCACGGATTTACTTATTACTTTTATTCTTGACCACGCGGATTTATTAAAGTTTTATACAATTATTGACTACGACACATAATTTATTTATTCAGTACTTGACGACGGACTCTATACGAAATTTCAAATAATGCATTTTTTTTATTTCAATATCTTATTTTTTAGCCATGTTATGAAAGATTTAAGCTAGGAGCTATTTCTAATATGAGGCAGCGTCACATGTGCATGTGCGATCGACGGCTACTTTGCCATCATTTGTTTCTCTTTAGACCATTTCTTTCAGACAACTTTTGTCTGAAATATTTTTTTTTAATTGTCTTTAAGATATTCGAGATGGATTAAAATAAGACACTCTGAAATGTGTACACATATATATGTATATGTATATATACATTTAGCAGAATCTGTCACGGTAAATTATATTGTGTGTATATGCATTGATAAGCATAAACTAGCAATTATAAGTACTTACATATAACTTCGATCATTAGACGGAAAATTTGTTATTTTAGAAGAATCCTGTATTTAAATTGTTCATAACATGACTAAAAAGTAAGCTATTGAAATAAAAAAATGCATTTTATATAAGAGATGCAAACAATACATTTATAACTTTTACATTTCAAGATAGCGTTAATCGTTTTTACAAAAAATTGTCAAATGTCATGAAAAAAGCTATTTTTTGGACATTATAAAATTTCAATTATTTTAGAAACCTGATGTGCTGAAATTTTTTTACTTGCAGCATCGTTTTCAGCATTCAAAAATCTACGAGAAACTAGTTCAAAATAATTTTCTGCCGTAAACTAGTGTAATTTATATTAACAATACTATGATAATATAATAAAAATAAAATAATATAAAATTAAATAATGCCAGAATTAAACTCATAAATATATTGCTTAATTATATAAATTAACCATTTTAAATTGTTTACATTTGAAATATATAAGTATATATGAAAAGAGAGAACGTAAATTATTGTTTGTTTAATTTAAAAAATGTTTAATAAATAATAGTAGATTTTGAAAGATTAAAAAAATAATATTTAAGAGTAATTACTTTTTTAATGCGTCCAAGATAAGAAGACAAAATAAGAAAATGTATAAAAATTTATATAATGCTATATAAAATATAAAAATGTTGTACATTTAATTTTAAGTTAATTTTATCCGTAACTAATTAATAATATCACACGTATTTCCATGAGAACGGAGATATATTCTTTAATCACGCAAAATTTGCTGATGCTTCGAATCGCCCGCACAATTTCGCAAGCAACGCATTATGGTTTCGTAGTCGATTCCGATTTCATAGCTAGTTGCGGATTCCTTTAAAAAACAGGCGCGTTAGTTCTCCTTCATCAGTTCGACTTCGACTGCGATCTACGAACAATGTATCTGAAGAGTTGCTGCGCGTTGATCTTGCTGGCGCTTGTCGCCTGTCAAGCCGCACCTTCGATCGAGAAAAATTCGATTAGCGAGGCAGAGACGTTCGCCAATACCGACCTAAACCTGGAGGACACTGGTGAAGAAAAGGACAGAGCAAAGAAATCCTCAACGACCTTCTGCGTGGAAGTTCACGGATCGGGAAAAGCAGAACGGGTTCCCTGCAAACAGGGGATAAGGCCTCAAGGAATTGTTCAACAAGAGATATCCAAACCAGTGTTTATGGTGCCTTATGGTGCCTTTCCGTTACCAGCACCAGCGCTAGCACCAGCACCAGCACCAGCACCGGCACCAGCACCAGTACCTGCACCAGTATCTGTACCAGCACCAGTGCCAGCACGAGCACCAGCATCAATACCATTTGTTGAGCCGGTTGTGATCCAGCCGCAGACACAACTTCCCCAAGGCATCAATGTAATCCAGCAACATCAATTATCGGATAATCAACCTCAGCCATCTCCTCAATCTGTAGCACCAGTGCCAGCTTCTGCTCCAGTACAAGCGTCTGCACCAGCATCGGTTCCGGTTATTAATATCGTACCATCAGCTCCTGCTCCAGCACCTTGTAACAGACCATCCTTTGTGCACGTGCCACCGCCACCACCGCAAGTTCACACGGTCCTCATTCCGCCATATCAATCAATACCGCTTGTAATCAGCAATCAGGAAGTTGAACCGCACAAGGAAGAAACAAAATTGCCAAAAGTGCCACTTTCCAGACCACAGGTAAAAAGACGATTAAATTGGATAAATACTGATATATAAAATAAATAAAAAATTAAGAGTTAGTAAATAGAAAATAAATTTCAAGATAAATTTCTTTCAAAATTCTCTCAAAACTCGTTATTTCTCATAGGTTTTAAACATTTTATTTTAAACATCTAAGTAATGAAAACCTGTAAAAATAATCAATTGATTAATTCATTTTCGATATATCAGAAGATTAAATTGCATTTATGCACCAAGTACCACGTTAATGACTCTTGTTGTCTACTTTAATTGTGATTATTGATTTTTTTAAATTAAAAGTTATATTAAAAGTTATTTATTGATTTTTAATTAATTTTTAACTAAATTAAATTAATTACAACATTATGAAAAAAATCTATTTAACAAAAATGAAATAAGAACTAACATATATTAATGTTTTTGTTTGTCTCTTCTTCATAATTTAGGTCCCCCATTTCAATCTGCCAGTTTATCAGTTTAATACAGTGCCTATTAAGCCTCAATGCACAAAATGCGAAAACAAACCATCACCATATGCACCGACGTGGCCACCCCATGTAGAACGGATCGTTGTTCAACCTCAATCTTTTATCGATGTAAGTGGAAAGCATTAATTTTAAAAGTACTGTTAAATTTTTTTAGAATGAGTCTTTAAATTTGCGCTAACAATAAGTTCTAGTATCTTCAGTTTTCTGAATCTGTGAACTCTTTTACCAATTGACGCATTACATTAATGTTAATTAAAGTTTTCGTACTGAAATATGTTATTTCTCGTTGATCTATAGATGACACAGTATGAAAAAGGCAGCTGTAAAACTGAAGAAGAAGTATACACCGAATGCAATTGCCGAGAGAAGCAAGTTGAACCATTCTATATTGATCCCCGATTCAATATTCAGGATCCTCGCATAACATATCCCAGTGGCGAAATCGATGTTATACCTTATAAGACCGCGAGGTTCTCCGGAGAAAATAATCCTAGCATCATGTCGAATCAACCCATGTTCTTTGCTTCAGAAGAAGCTAGAGAAGCAGTGAGTAAATTGATATGAATTAAATAGTAATATATTGTATGGTTCCACATTGATTTTGAGATAATACGGGAGGTATTCCGTAATACCTCTCTCTTTCCCAATTGTGCGATTTAAAAGCGATAAAACCTTAATGCGACAACAAGAGATTCCTATGCGCAAGTTTATTATTGCTCTAAAAAATTTCTATGATAAGATTTTCTAAAGTAAGATCTTCTCTGTAGAAAGCTTGTCAATTCGAGCTATAATATTTCATTTTACAAACAGATTTAATCCTTTATATCCTGAATGTCTTTGTTAAGGGAATTGGTCCAAGCAAGCTTAAAAATCAAAAGTCTAAAATATTTGAAACTTTGTACAGATCACATAGTCTTTAATGCAAACGTTTTTATGTATTTCCTTTAAAATTATTTGTTTTTATGTATTATTTGTTTAAAAAATAAAAATAATTATTCAGAAAAATCTACTCAATTCTGTTCTCCTTCTTCCGATCTTCCGATTATAAGATCTTGTTTTACTATTATATACAATCTATAGTGTAATAAAAACAAATGTCTCCGAAGAATTGCGCTGCGTTTGGAATCTTTTGTTGTGATGTGATAATTCGAGAGATTAGACATGCGCTCAACTGCTAAAAATGTAATGCTGAAAATTATACATTGAAAATTATCGCACAGTAATACAATTTCTGATCGTAAAAAAAAATTAATTCTAAGAATAAATTTTTAAATAGTGTGTATATATGTATAGTAAAATATGGTTTTCACACAAATAATGAATATTAAAATATTTCTTTTGCAGGAAGGAAGGCATCATAAAAAACCTGTTGTAAACTTCAATGTGCAATTCCCTGTCGTATCTGACAATACCCAAAAATATTATCAACCTCAGTATACATATGCTAATCCAACATATACTAATCCAACATATGTTAATCCAACATATGCTAATCCAATAACTTACACTTATCCAAGTGTTAACAGTTACGGAGCTTATGGAAACTACGGAACCTCTTATCCGATTAGCCAGGACTATCAAACTTCAACAAGTAATGTACCGTCAGTCACTGTAAATGCGGGAGGACCATTTTATGGCCGTGAATCTCATCACATTGACTCATTGACTCAATCGAATCGAGAAGAAGCACTTTCGACTGCTACCGAAATGATTAATGGCTCCAACAATTTAAAACGAGAGACTGACGTCATTCAGAAGAACGAGCAGAAAGAAATTACGCAGAATGAGAAGGAAAACTACGAGCATCAAGAAGGCAATTTCGTAAACTAACGTAATTAAAAATATGTAACAAAATACAGAAGCAAAAGTTATCGAATTTTCGAAGTCGTAAACACGCCTAAATAATTTGATAATTGATTTAACAGATTTAATCTCAAGATGATTTTTATTATTTTTTTAACTTAAGTAACATTATTAAAATGTTCCAAAAATGTTAATTTATTTCAAATCTATTACTTTTAATTTCAACTTACTTAATTTACTTGATTTTTTTTTTAGTACTTAGTTTATTTTAAAACATATTAAACTTTTAACTTATTTCCTTTTTTCTAATAAATTAAAATTTTCTTAATTTCTTTAAACGCACTTATATGTTTTTCTTTTATACAATTTTGAACATTAGTAATGTAAGAAAATTGGCTTTCGTGTTCTCGCGACTTAAGATCTGGAAAATTATAACTTTGTTATTTTGAATAGAAAGAAACAAAAATTTTATTTGAGATTGTAACAATTTAAAAAAATTAAAAGAAAAATTAATAAAAATTTTTTAATAATACTTCTATTAAACTTAAATATTTATTTGTGACATGTATTCTCTATATTATGCATAATTACAATAATTTTTATATTATTGTTAAAAATAATGTAAATATATAGCTATATATATTTCCTTCTATAAAATTATACTTCTTTATTATTTCATTGACAAATAAAATATTAAATTTACAGTATGTTGCATATTTCCATTATTTTTAATTTTGACCGTTCAAAGTAAAATTAATTATAAAAATTGTAAGTACAATTATTTTTTAATTTAATTAAATAATGCTTAAAATTTATAATTTTTATTTTTAATTTCTAATTTAATTTAAGTTTCTTTTGCCATTAGAAGATGCGTGTGTGATGAAAGAATGTTGCAACGTTGTTTGCTGTTGTTGTGTCATTGTGTGTCATGTGTGTTTAAGACTAATCTTACCCATACTTGAGGAGAGGGAGTTTGCCCACCGTAACGGAAAGTTAGAGCAGGAGAAAATTAGAGAGTCTGTCTCCATAGACTGGGGGAGTCACCGATGAGATGCTGAGAAAGCAAAACCGAGATCCCTCCATCAGTCTGGGTAAGGTCAGTCATCAGAAGATAGGGTTCTTAATCGGTAGACGGCGTCGATGGAATCGACTAGCGGACCGGCGTCGAATCCGACACACCCTATAATATAGGCTGCAGCGGGCGTCTTCTCTTTATGGTGGATCACCTCAGGTCAGGACCTGGTCCTCTCCCAATGGAGCTCTCATTGCTCCATAAGAAGGCAATGCAAAGATTTTCCCCTCTCCCGCAAAAAATTTAATTTAATTTAATTTAACTTTAACTTAACATAATTAAGTTAACCTTGTTATGTTATTATAAGTATTATATACATTATTATAGATCTTAACCACCATAACGATTCGATAGTTTTTGAATGTCGGTAACAATAACAATTATCTTTAGCCTATTCCACATTCAGTCTCACAATCAGATTGCATCTCAGCGAACTCTTTAACTTCTAGCACCAGTGCCAGTTCCTGCTCCAGTATAAGCGCCTACACCATTGCCAACTCCGATCACTATAAATATCATAAATATTATTCTGCCAGCTCCTGTCCCAGCACTTTACGACAAATTAACCACGCGAGGATCCAGTTCGATTATATCAAGGTCCCAAGCAAGTCTTAACCACATTCGTGTTCAAATCGCTATATGCACCTTTTAATAAACTATAATATGTAAACTAATCATTGTGCAGATACCTGCACCGTTGAAACCGTACACGGTCCATGTCTCTGGTCACTACGATATAATAAAATAGAAAAAAATCGAAAATAAATTATAAAATTTTAAAGTTTTTTTAAAATTTACTCAAAGCTCATTACTTCCTATAGCTTTTAAACATTTAATTTTAAACATCTAAGTAATTAAAACCTGTAAAAATGATCAATTAATTAATTTTCAACTAAAGTAAATTTACTACAACATTATACAATAAAAATCTTTTTAAATAGAAACAAAATAAGAATTAACATATAATAATAATATTTTAGTTTTCCTCTTCTTTATAATTTAGGACCATTTCGATCTGCCAATTCTGCATTACCAATTCACTATCTTAACGCCTAAGAAGCCTACAAAAAATGTCAAAACGTTTATCAACCTGTTTAGAATTTATTCTTTGTCCAATCCTTTATCGATGTAAGTAGCAAATATTATTAATTATAAAGTACTGTTTAATTTTTTTAGAATTAGATTTTTGATTTTGCGCTAAATTCTATAGTATCTTCCATTTTCTGAATCTGTAAACTCTTTTTATTAATTGATGTATTACATACTCGAAAAAGTTTTCATATTGACTAAAAATATATATGCTATTTCTCATTTATCTAGGTGTTACAGTATGACAAAGACAGCTGAGAAAGACCAAAAACTTTAATAACTAGTTAATTTTTACGTAACTTCGATCTACAATGTATCTGAAAAGTGTCACGGTAAGAATAACAATTAAAATTATTTTTTCAAATCAGTAACGTTACTTTTATAAAGTAACAATCCTGGTAATACTTATATTATGTAATATAGAATGGCCAAAAAAACGAGAATATTTAAAAGGATAAAACTAACTTTGTTTATTTAATTTTAATCATATTAAATTAAAAAAATATATATATACGTCATTTACAAATTATCTTATCGTTTTGTATCGTGACGTTATCTCATAGCTTCATAACCATGACATTTTGTAAATCCTTTAATTGAGCAATGCTACTCAGTGCAAATTTGAAGCATTCATTAACTTAAAACAAATATTTGTAGAAAAAAATGCAAACATCAACAGTTGAAATTTTATAAGCCATGAGAAACTTTAAGGACAGATTGCAAAAATGCATGCACTCAAGAGATAGTCATGTAAAGATTGTCAAGATGTAATAAAGTTAAATAAGCGATAATGACGTCGCAAGTACATAAAAAGACGTACTGTAATATGTACTATTTGGTATGGAATTTTAAAGACCAATGATTATGCGGCGCGCAATTTGCCTGAACTGAGAATTGTAAGATTCAAATATTATAAAGCATCAAAATTCACTTTTTGCTGTGTTGGCATTTTTGTATCTCAATTATTGTTAAATAAAAATAGTAAAATAATTTATAAACTTTAATGTAATTAAAATTTATTAAATAGATTTATCCTTTAATAATATCTTTATCCTTTAAATTTTCCAGTTTCTTTAACCCATTTTGTATAAGAATGAAATTAATAATAAATAATATTATTTATATTTATATTAATATTGTAGTAATACAATACAGGAATTAAATAAAATTAAATAATGTCAGATGTAAATTGAACATATAATATTATTCAATTATTTAAATTTGAAATTTGTAAATACATGCACAAAGAGAATGCAAATTAATTCTTGTTCAATTTAAAACAATCTTTTAAATATCTAATACTTAAGTACCTATAAGTACTTTAAGTATAATTCCTTTTTTAATGCGTCCACGATTTTACAATAACACGAGGCATAAAAATTTATGTAAAATAAAAATGTTGTGGATTAATTTCAAACTAATTTTGCTCATAATTAACCAATAATATTATCACGCATAATTTTATGAGAACAAGGACACAGATATAATTGTTTATCAAAATTTTCAGTGCATCAAATCGTTCGTACAATTTCGCAAGCAACGCGAATGGTTTCGTCGTCAGACATCGATTTCACGGATGATCAAAGATTCCTTTAAAAACAGACGCGCTGGTTCATCAGTTCAATTTTAACTTCGGACTACACGTATACGAACAATGTATCTGAAGAGTTGCTGTGCGTTGTTCTTACTGGCGCTTGTCGCCTGTCAAGCTGCACCTTTGATCGAGAAAAAGTCTATTAGCGAGGCAGACACGTTTGCCAAGGCTAACACAAACCAAATGGACACTGGTATTGAAAAGGCTAGAGCGAAGAAATCGATAACGACTTTCTGCATGGAAGTTCACGAAGGAAAGCCAGAAAAGGTTCCCTGCAAATCAGAGCCACAAAAAATTGGTCAACCAGACATATCCAACCCAGTATTTCTCGTGCAACCCGTACCAGTACCAGCACCAGTGCCAGCTCCTGCTCCAGTACAAGCGCCTGCACCTGCAGCCTTTCCGATCATTAATATCGTATCGTCAGCTCCTGGCGCCGCACCTTGCGACAAACCAACTAATGTGCACACATCATCGCCGCAACTTTACGCGCATCATCTCATTCATCCGCCATCTCAACCAACACCGCCTGTGACTAGCCAGGAAGCTAAACTGCACAAGGAAGCAATGAAATTGCTAAAACCAGAGGTAAAAATTTTTCAAATCAGAGGTAAAAAGACGATCAATTTGAATAAATAAACGAAATTAAAAATCGAGAATTTCAATAGTAATAAGAAATAAATTTCGAGACAAGTTTTTTTTTTATTTTCTTAAAGCTCGTTATTTCCCATTTTTAAACATTTAATGTTAAACATCTAAGTAAAATCTGTAAAAATAATCGATTAGTTAATTAATTAAATTCAACTTAATCAAATTAATTACAACATTATGCAAAATAATCTTTTAAAAATTCACCATCAGAACATTTACCTACTACGAAGCCTCACACAAGCAATAAACCATTCCAAGAAAGAAATCCATCCCATTTAGGGGGTATTCTTCGTTCAACCTCAATCAATGTAAAATTTATCGACGTAAGTGGCAAGCATTAATTCTAAAAGTACTGTTAAGTTTTTTTAGAATTGCGGATCCTTGAATTAGCGCGATAAAAGATTCCTATATATGCGCAAGTTTATTGTTCTAAAAAATTTCTATAACAAGATTTTGTAAAGTTAAATATTTTCTGTAGAAAGCTCGTCAATTTGTTCGGAAATAGCTAATAATATAATATTTTATTTCACAAGCAGGTTTAATTCTTTACATCTTGGATGTCTTTGTTAAATTGGACCAGGCTTAAAAATTAAAAGTCTAAAATATTTGAAACTTTATACAGAACACACGAGTCTTCAACGCAAATGTTCTTATGTATTGTTTATTAAAAAATAAATATAATTATTCTAAAAAATCTACTCATTGTTCTCTCTCTTCCGATCTTTCGAGTCTCCGATTAACAATCCATTTTACTATAATGTATAGTATAAATGTCTTTGAAGCATTGCGCTGCGTTTGGAATCTTTTAATGTGTATAATTTGAAATGTTAGTCGTGCGCTCAACTACTGAAAATATAATGCTGAAAATTACACATCGATAATTATCGTAAAGCAATACAAGTCCTGCGATCTTAAAACAAATTAATTCTTATAGAAAGATATTTTTAAGTAGTGTATATATTGTGTATTATAACATGATTTTTACACAAATAATAAATATTGAATTATTTTTTTGCAGGAAAGAAGGCATTATAAAAAACATTGTGTAAACTTCAATATGTAATTCAATCCTTATCGTACCTGACAATACTCAAAAATATTATCAACCTCAGTATTATACTAATCCAGTAACTTACACCCTATTCAAATACTAATATTTATGGAGCTTACAGAAACTACGGAACCTCTTATCCGATTAATCATGACTTTCACGCTTGAGCTTGAAAGTCATGACTAGTCTGCAGATAAGAGGTTCCGTTGTTTCTGTAAGCTCCATAAGTATTATTATTTAAATAAGAGGTGTAAGTTAATGAATTAGTATTGAGGTTGATAATATTTTTGGGTATTATCAGGTACGACAAGGAATTTCAAATTGAAGTTAAGAGGCAAGTAATGTACCATCAGTCACTGTAAATGCGGGAGGACTATTTTATGATCGTGAATCTCATCACGTTGACTCAGTCGAATTTAGAAGTGCTATCAGAAGAAGCACTTTTGATTGCTACCGAAATGATTAATGCCTTCAACAACTCAAAACGAGAAACTGACATCATTCAGAAGAACGAGTAGAAAGAAATTACGCAGAATAAGAAGGAAGATAACATCAAGGAAACAATTCTTTGAATTAACATGATTAAGAATGTATACACTGTTGGGAAAAAATGTGACATAAAATTTGACATAAATCGCATGTTTCAAACAGTCCACTCAAATTTTTGTGTTAATTCAACATAATATGGATGTGTTTAATGATAACACTAATATCATGTTTATATTTCAACAAAAAAATAATGTAAAATCTTGATCATAATTGAATTTATTCATGTGTACAATCAAAACAATTTTTATGAAAATATCAACATATAACAAATGTTTTTTTTTACGTTTTACAAATGTAATTATTCAAATATTTTATTGATGTAAAAGCTACAGTATTCATTTGTTAAAAGTTTTAATTTTTAATAAAAGATTTATGTTAATATAATATTTTTTTAGGTTAAATATGAAATATACAAAAATATTATTTTTACGTCTTAGAATTAATATATCAATACATATTTTATTAATGTACATTATAAACATAATTATAAAAATTGTATGGAATAAAATTAATAAATTATATAAACATATTAAATATAATTAATATATTTTTTATCTTAGAATATTATATAAAAGATATATATTTAATTAAGTATTATATATTAATAAATTTCAAAAACAATGTTGTACAATATTGTTATTTTTTTATAATATATATAAAGACTCTTTAAAAAGAAGTTACAAAAAGTAGTCAGTTATACCGGCTAAATTTTTTTCTAAGAATTTGTAAATTTCCCAACTTTTAGTATACGGCAAATCAATTATTTTTATAACAAATAAAATAGATGTATTTTTTGCAATGTATTTTAAACGCGAGGATGATATTTTTAAAGTATTCCAGCGTTCTGCACGTACAACATATGCTTCAGAATTTACAGAAAAAATTAATGAAATTTAACTGAAATTAGGCAAATCCTCGGATAAAAATAAACATATAAATTTATTTAATATTAAGTTAATACCTTGAAATTCTACACATTTAATTTACATAAATTGTTTACTGACTACTTTGTTTACTTACATAAATAAATGTATCTCCAGTAATATGTTAGTTGCTTACAATGATTTCACTGTATTCAGTTAATTTTAAGTCTTGTCTTTTGAAATTTTTTTAGAATCGGTTCATTATCAAAGCATAAAAAGTTTTTATTTTCCCAAATGGACATCACGCATTTTTGATGATGTACAGAAAATTGCATACGCAACAATATCTTTAAAGTTTTATAATTTATTAACTAAGTCTCTTAAATAACCATTTTTATTTTTATATCTCGCTGTCCAAAAATCCGTTGGTTGACTCATTTTCTTGATAATCATTATATAATGAATAATTATGTGATCTTTTGATAAAGAAATAAAAAATTTTTTTATCAAAAGTTTATGGTGCTCTTTTGTGGTAAGTACTTTGTAATTCTTGTAACATATTATTTGTAATTGTAAAGTAAACATACCAATGACTGAACATGTATCTATATCTGAACACGTATACAAAATTCATTAATCTTAATGTTAATCTTAATCTTAATGTTCTTTTTATTATAATATCAAAATTTAATTATAAAAATATTTAAAGATTACAATTAAATTATAATATTATAAAAAAAACATTTAAAAATAAGTTTCTGTGTACGTGCTCCCGTATAAATACGTATTCAGTCTAGCCGGTACGTTTAACTTAGGTGCTATTACAATTTTTATTAATAGTATAATTATTTTTTTCCACTTATTAAAATTTTCATCAAGTTTTGCATTATATCTTTTAGTTAAACATATAACACTATAGGAAAATTAGCTCTATTATGTGATCTCTAAACCATAATCAAAAGCCTGTATTTTATCATTTAAGTTGCTCAAATTAATAATTTTAGATTTATCGCAGAAATAAAAGAATAAATGTAAATTTCTTTGACAAATACTTTCCAAAAAATCATGCATTATATATCTACATTATAATTTTCAGAAGGTTTAAAGTAAGTTAAATCAAATGAAAAATTTTTATTTTTAATTCCATAAAAAATAATTGTATTATTATTAGCATAATCAAGTTGATTTGCAAGATAATTAAAACTTTTAAACGTACGTAATAAAGTTATTATTAGCAATATAAAGTTTTTGAGCATCTTCTTTATGAATTGTGCACATCCTACAATAATAATTTATAGTACGAAATGATTCATTTATGCCTATAGTAGCATTGCTAAATTATCAAAAATTAATGATATATCGTAACACATTGAGACCGCGTCGAGTCCGCATCGCACGAAGAATAACGCTCAATCACTTCTACCATATACACATAGAGTAAAATCAACACTTTTATTCTGTAAATTTTAACACATTTAATAAATATGTGCAAATTGTGTTGCTTTTATGTTTTTAAAATTATTTTAAAAATTTTACATTTTATATTTGTTAGATTCAATTAACATATATGACAGACATATAATATGTAATTAAATTTATATGAATGTCAGATATGTTGATAATTGAATCTAACAAATATATAAAATGTAAAATTATTAAAATAATTTTAAAAACGTAAAAGCAACACAATTGATGTATTGACACAATGAATGTGTTGATTGCTTAACACAAAAATTTTAACCAGCGGATTTTTTTACAAAATACACAAATTTTCCAACTGTGTACAGAAAATGTTTAATTACGAATAATTTTAACGTTTCCACTATTTATTGCATCAGATATCATAATTCAATTTTATTCCTATCTCGAGTCTTCTTTTCAAGTATAAATTTGTTGAATTTATAATCAACACACTGCAAATCCAAGTGTGTAAATCTGTAGTCACTTTTTACGTATTTATACGCGTGTTATATTTTTACACAATTTATCTGTGTTTTACACAGTTAAATGCGTATTTTTTACACGCTTGCACATAT